CGCAACATCGCCGTCCGACTCACGCCGTCCGACTCGCACCATGGCCTTGTTGTTGTTGTTGTTGGTGGTGGTGGTGGTGGTGGTGTTTTTTTGTTTTGGTTTTGAATTTTGAAATCCATTTCCACTCCCCCAGCAGGGCACTTCTGCGCCTCAGAGGTACTTCTACGGCGGCGAGGCGCACCCGCCCTACTACGCCAGCCGCGTGGAGCCGCACGAGCGCGGCTGGGCACCGGACCCACTGATGGACGTGTTCCTGGCGCTGCACCGGCGGACGGATCAGGTGGCACGCGAACTGGCTGAGATTTGGCCACCAAGACCCCGCGTTGATGGCAAGTGGAAGAAGGAGAGGGAAGGAGTTAGAGCGCTTGGTCTCAAGTTTTGTTGCTTCTTCATGCAAGAGTTGGGCTTTCACAACTCCATGTTCCCTTTTTGTCTCTATAGTAGATGTGATACAGAATGATACAGATATGAGGGCGATGCCTGGGGAAATGCCAGTCATCGGGTCTGATTGGTGCGACGAGAGCAAGGAATAGGGCTTTGGGGATCTACAGTGGGGGGGATGACTCTCACCACCAAGCACCAATGAGTGCACCCTGGCTTGTCTTAGGTCGACAACACGTTTTGCGTATCAAACTTGTATTGTAGACAGGGAGGGCTAATACTAGATGGATATCAGGCGCAAGATCAAGAAAGCATCCTCATGGTTCAAGAGCTTTCACCCAAAAGAACAGCTGCAACAAACACGAGTCGTCACAACCAGCTGCAGTGACTTAATGGTCCTTTCATGCCTTCGAGCTCCGCACAGTTCACCAACCCCACACAGTTCGCAAAAATTCACCACACCTTCACACACGTTCTTTGGTACATGACCCAACTCGCTAAACTGCTAAACCTTGTTTTGATGCTCAACTGCCATGCAACTGCTTTCTAAAGATCAGGAAAACGCATCAAAGGCACAATGGTGCATGGACGAGAAGGATAAACTTGGAGCATCGAGAACATGTTTCTACCAGCTTTCAAAGATAGAGTCCAGATATCCCACGATCCACCTACACTCCATCGCCAAACCGCCTCACTCCCCAGGAGCACGGCTTAGCTTTCTACCTCGGCGATCACGGGGAGCAGCTCACTGGCCACGACCCCCCGCCACATGGGAACTTGGTCTCGCCCGACGTCTCACGCACCTTGCTGGCGCTGGAGGCACGTGCATGGAAGACCAAGAGCCATTCCGGTGGTTTGGTGCGGATGGCTGATGTGTATGCCACCGTGGCGCAGGTGGTTGGCATGGAAGCTGGGCAAAATGGGAGAAGACCAGTATCAAACCAGCTAGGCAACTTGCTGCCAATGGATGCCACTGGAAGTGACCTAGAAAAGAGAGCAATCCCTGTATATCCCTGTGTAGTAGAAACTATGCTGCCTCCGGTTTAGCTAGTAGGTGGGACACTGGGTTGCACATGTTGGAACATGTTGGAACATGGTGGTCCAATATGCTGGGGAAGCTGTTCCTCTCTCGGGAGTGCCACACCTCCGCGCCCACTCAGGAGATGAATGGGCCTCTCTTTTTGGGGCGGAACCTGCTGAGTGCAGCCAACTCATCACAGCATGCTGCGATCTCTTCGTTTTCTTTCTACCGCCCAGGAGTGGTGTCATGTTCTCTGTGGATCTCTCCGCTCATGTCTAAGCGAGCCGCTATATCTATATCATGGGATGTGTTAGGTAGGTACTCCATATCTACAGTATACAGTATACAATTCGATGTACATGAGCTATGTTAATTTATACGCGTTTGTATCTACATATATTAATACAGTACATATCATAGACAGTGATCGTGGTTTTGCCAGGCTAGGTGGCTAGGCTTTGAATTGAAGGTTTATCACATGTTAGAGATCCTATCATCCAGGATCTATATAACATGTGAGTAGTCCATATAGTCCATTCGATCCTACCTACCTTCCAGGATCAATTGACTTATGCCAGGATGGTGACAGATGATGGTTGTGCCAGAGCCAAACATGCTTGGCAACCTTCACGATTCCGGTGCTGCTGGGGTCGAGCAAATGATGCGGAGAGTACTTGACCTGCAGAGCCCTTACCCATCTTGGGGGACAGGTCTTGCAGGAATGTCCCGTCAGAAAACCGCTTCTGTCACCCCAAGAATGGGTATTGCATGGATTCACTGGGAATGCTTCCACCAAGTTGTAAAGTGTTTCTGCATCGGCCACTGCCACTGCTTTTCGATTCATCCAGCACACGGCCACCAAACCCAGCAATCTTGGTCTCAATGTCAGGGGGTTCAGTGATGCATGTACAAGCATTCCGCCACATGGATCATCATGGATCTACAGTCGATGATATGCCATGATATGCCTGTTATTCTTGGATATTCTCGGTAAGGCCATGTACTGTCACCGCCTTGAGGAGACCTGGCTGCCGTGCACTTTGTGGCCGATGGTGCGCTTTGTAGCACAGAGTTCCAACGCCGCAACACAGGGTGGTCGCTGCTGCAGGTGCGGGACCCGTTCATGGCCTGAGAAGGCCACAAGAAACTCATGGCCACGTTAGTGCAGTTAAGATACGACCCCCCAGTAGCTGAAGTTCAGCCCATTGAGCCTGTTCAGAAGCTCAGTAAGCTTCTTGCAAAGACATTCTATCCCAGAATGCTCCAGGAAGATATGGAAGATATACCTACATTGAGTCCTACATTGGGGTGGTTTCAGGAGTGAATGGAAGTCTACCTGCATTGTGGCACCTACCCTGGAAACCCACCATACCACACTACCTACCACCCAGGCTGGTGAAACGAACCTCTTCGGTTCACCGATGCCGCCGTCCTCGCCCACCCCAGGTGGACGCGCTGCAAGAGCCCTTCGGCTCGGGGAAGAGCTTCTCAAGGACGATGGAGGCGACTGATGGAGGGACGAACGAACGCGCGCGCGCGGCGGCGGCGGAGGCGCGCAAAAGGTTTCAAGTCTCAAGTCTCAAGGAAAACCAGATTGAAGATGTAAATTGAACATTGTTTTGAACATCCTTTTGGACAACTTCTTGGAAGAACAAGGCAAGTCATGGCAACTTTGTTCACTGTGAAAGAGTTTTTGTTCCATCCATGTTTGCACAATCGTACTTTCACCATTCGGCGTTCAGATTTCTGGAAGAGAGTGGCCTGAAAGCCAGCAAGCATCAGGCCAACACATTGTATGTAGTATAATAGTTTACACCACCATCAGCTATGTTCTTGAACTGAGCAGCATCAGCAGTTTGACGGCATCGTTTTTGTTGAACCAGCCTGCAGCTGTTGGAATCACATCGCTAAATTTGAGTCGCACACACTTTCTTTGCCCCTGCGCCTTTTCTTCTATCCCATGATCTCTTCGTGTCTATCCCAAGCTTCCTGAACGCAGGGGCTGGACAGTTGCCAACGCGATGCGATGTCACAGCTGCGTTGGGCCTTAGCACGGCGGCAGCAGACCAACGCCCTCCTGACGGCACCTCGGTCGACCGCCGCTGACCGCTTCGACCCATTCTACCGGTGGTTTGTCAAGTCCCGGTGTGGGACCAGATGAAGGATTCCCAAGACCAGATGCTTCGGATGTAAACGTCAAACGCATTATAGTTATAGGGATCTCCAAACTAGATAGCGCTTTTCTTTCATGATCGATTAGGGGGGATATGTGGGGATCTACTTTCTAATCTATTCTATTTTGTTTGGATCTATGCACAGAGTTTGGACCCACAAGAAAAAGTTAGTGGGGTGAAGGATTGCAGAGACTGGAATTTTAAGCATGTCCAGTACTTAAGTACCTATACAACGGAGGCCTCTAGCAGGTCCCCCAATCACAGATTTGTACCGGTGTTCGCGGTTGGTCGGGGTAGGCAGGAACACCAACCCTCTCTCCCACCTAGCATTAATGTGTACCTTGTCAGTTTGAACAGCTTGCGGGTAACAGGAGCAGCTGCTCCCTGGTTTAAAGTTTGGTGCTGTGCCACAGCTTTTAGCAAGTGCGCTGGGAGTGTTTGTTTGGGCGTTGGCCTTCGTTGTTTGGTTGTCTTGCCTTCCTTTGTCTTTGCTGGCGCGATGTCCGCGATGGATTGCAAGAAGAAATTTCAGGACTTGTTGCAAAAGGTGGGGCTGTGTAGCAAAGTTCAGGAGGAGTTGGCTGCGCGGGGCTTCGCGACTGCCGCGGAGTTGCACTGGACTCTGCAGAGCGGGGCTGAGGAGACGATTGATGCTGTGCTGCAGGCGGCTGGGGTAGATAAGGGCTGTGCGCCTTCTTTGCTCCAGTGCTTGGAAGCGGGCCGCTTGCGGCGTCTCTTGGCTATGTGCACAAAAGTATGCAATGACGCTGGTGATCAGGCGCCAGTGGTTTCGGATGCAGCAGGGACGAGCTTGTTGGGTCTCTCAGTGGGCCCGCAGCTGGATGCGGCTCAGTTGGCAGAGTTGTGGAAGAAGTTTGCGGCGGACTACCCATCAGAGTGCTTGGAAGCGGATGGGCAGCCCTGCAAGCAATTGCTGCAGCAGATCGCGCTCCAAAAGCGGAATGGGGAGTTGAAGTTTATCCCTTGGAAGCAAATCTTGAGCGTTGTGCAATACGATCGTTCCCGCCAGTCCTGCTCCCACTCTAAGGAGAAGTCTCTCCTGGGCCTTTTGGCGGATGTGAAAGGACATGTTGACGCCTTGGAAGCTGACGTGTCTTCCTCCCCCTTCGCTGTGCAGAAGGTTTTGTCGCTGCGCAGTGTGGCGTGGGCGTTGCTGGATTGGTGCCATTTGTCGTCGGGCAAAATGCTTGTCAACAAGTTCATGCTGCTGTATCATCGCGTTGGGTTGGCTGATGTGGGGATGCGCCCCCCCAAACCTTGCAGAGGCCGAGTTTGCGGATGCGGAACTCTGCCGTCAACTGCAGGATTTGATGAGCAAGGGCAATGATTTGGACAGGGCTATTTATGAGGCAGTTGTGGTGCGAGACAGTTTGCGATTGTGGCTGCAGCCGCGCCTCAAAGCTCCAGCAGAGAAGGGAAGGCGTCCTTCCCCGTATGGTGCTGAAACTACAAGTGCTGGCAAGGGTCGTGGCCAAGGCAAGGGCAAGGGTAAAGACAAAGGGGTGAAGCGTGCCAAGGGTCTTTGTTGGAGCTTCCAAGAAGGCAAATGCACTATGCGCGACGAATGCAAGTTTAAGCATCACTGTGATCATTGCGGCTCTGCTGAACATGGGCGGCATGCGTGCGCGAAGCTTTTGCAACTGGCGAAAGAGGATTAGGGGCGTTGCCTCGCTCCCATCATGGAGCAATGCGGGAGCGAGGTAGCAGCAGACCCTGCAGGCTGCCCCTCGCTGCCAGCTGGTAGCGCTCCACCCTGGCAGCCTGCGGCTTTCCATCAAGATGCGGGCCAGGCTGACGTGGCGGGGGTGGCTCAGCAGCCTGAGAGTGGTTCTCCTGCAGATTATCACCGCATCTTTCTGTAAGACGGGGGTGGTCTGTCGAGCACTCTGGATTGGCAAGTGCCTCCGCCTGGAGCTTTGCGGGACCCATTGTCTGCGGTGCGCAAAGCAATTTGGTCTTCCATGCCGAAAGATGCTTGCTGCCGGGCGGCCGCGCTGTGTGGCAAGACCTTGGAGCATCCGTTCTTCACTGACTCAGAGGTGCATTTGATGCAAGTGGCCGTTTGTTCAGCCTTGGGTATCGATTCGGCTTGGGCATTGGAGTCCTTTGAACTCACTCCGTACAAGTTCAATCTGCTGGAAAGTTTGGCTCTGCGTATGGATGATCCAGATGTTGCTCTGTGCAAAGTGCTTCGGCGCGGGGCGCCTACGGGAGTACGGGAGCCAATCCCTGCATCTGGTGTTTGGCCACCTTGTTCTGGCAAATGGGGTGACGAGGTGGCTGAGGCTTGCGATTTGTTCTGGTGCACCTCCAATCACATTTCTGCGGAACAGGAGCCGGCTAAAGTTCGCGCTTTAGTCCAGAAAGAAGTGGACCTGGGTTATTTGGTACACATTGCAGGGGGGATGTCGGCAGTACAACAGCGATTCCCGGATGGTTCCTTGGCAATTGGCAAGCTGGGGCTCGTGACGTGCGCTGGAAAAGAAGACCGGCTCATTGGCGACTCCCGCGCCAGTGGGGCGAGCCCGGCAGCCAGATTCCTTGAGCGGGCGGAGGTGCCTTCGCTTTTCTTGTTCACTGCTGCGCTGAACAGGTTCGCCGCTTGGCGAGGTGTGGCGGTGGACCCCAAAGAGTGGGTGTTGTTCAGCGTGGACATCAAGGGGGCTCACAAATCTATTCGTACGGCCGCTGAAGATGTGGGCTTTTCGGTATTCTCACTTGAAGGAGAATTCTACGCATACGTGGTCAACCACTTCGGGGCCGCGTGGTCGGCGTATTGGTGGTCAAGGCTTTCTGCTTTGCTGTTACGAACCATACACTTCCTGGTGCGCCACCGCCACCTGGGGGCGGTTTATGTGGATGATTTTCTATTCCTCCTGCCGCGGGGGGCGTTCGCGATGCTGGTGGTGCTGGTGCTGGCTATTTTGCAAATCTTGGTTGTGCCATTGTCCTGGCGTAAACTGGCATTGGGTTCCGAGTTGACCTATTTGGGGTGGCAGTTGTCCTTGCATTCTGGTTTCTGGGCGTCCTTGCCGGAAAGCAAGCAAGCGAAGGTGCTTAGGGAGCTGGCTTGGTGGAGGTTGCATCCGCGACGGGTGCCTCGGAAGAAGCTCTCTCAGCTCTTGGGGTTTCTGCTTTGGGCGACTCAAGTGCGGCTCGCATTGCGAGCTTTCCTTGCGCCTCTCTTTATCAAGCTGAACAAGCCAGGGTCACGCTTGCAGTGTCTGAGTTTGGGGCAATTAGAAGAGCTGGCCATGATCCTGGGGGACGGGCTGGTAGTCCAGTCTGCTGCTGCAAGAAGCGATATTCAAAAGGGGTGGCGTTTGCGCGCTGTGGGTGGCAAGACAGTTGATTGTGTCATCAATGCGCGTCGTCTGCTGCAACAGCCCCGAACGATCACGGGCAAGATTTGGGTCCGGTTTTCGGCATGGACTCCCTGTGTGGATCTGGATCCGGTTTCGTTGTCCTCGTTGCACACTTTACAGCGGGTGTTTTGCACCAACAGTTTCTCTTGGGCCGGTGAGAGGGTGGCTGAGGACGCTGCGGCGGATGCCTGGGCCGGGTCTGCTCTCTCCGGCATAGGAGGTTGGTTTCGTGCCTTGGAGTCAAACAAACTGTTTTGGTTCCACCTGGAAATTGAGCAGGGCCAATTACCCGATCTTTGGCAGTGGCCGGAAAAGATGCAAGCAGCTATATGTGCTCTGGAGCTTTTAGCGCAGCTGGCTCTGGTTCTGGCTCGCGCAAAGGTTGATGGGAACGCACAGTTGCATTGTGTGCGCTTGCGGCAATATGGCGACAACATGCCAGTGGTCGCGGCTTGCAGTAAGGGCTTGTCCACTGCGCCGCCGCTGTGCTTTGCGCTGATGGCCTTGGCTTTTGCGGCTTTGGAGCTACAAGTGGCCTTGGAGCTGTCCCATGTGGCAGGCGAGCGGAATGAAGAGGCTGACTTGCTAAGTCGTTTGAACCACCCAGAAGCGAAGCCATGGCCCTTGGTCATGAGGGCCAAGTTCCCTGAAGCAAATCGGGTGCGTATCACCTTGGCGGACGTGCTGGCCCCGTGGTACAAGTTCATGCAGCGACCAAGTTCGCTAATTGAATTCGACCGTCCTTAGTTGTCAGTTCCCGTAGTTGCGGTTGCGTAGGCTGCACAGTCACTCAAAATTTTGGGGGTTTAGTAGGCGCGCCTGTGCAGAAGGGTACCAACAGGCAAGTTTGGGGAGAAGGGAAGCCTGTTGGCAGAGTCCTGCATGGATGGCTTGTCCCTTCATCTTGCAAAAGGTCGGCGCGCCTGCTTTAGGTCTTGTAGTTCCTTGAATGATAGGATGGGTGAGAGGGTTTAAAAGAAACACAGACTAGACTTACCCAGACGCTCCATGTATGCCATATATGCCTACAGTGACCCCTCAAACCACCCCAATGTAGGTATATATGATATACATGGGGTGTCTGGGTTATATATGTTGGCCCAGCCCAGGAGTCGAACGTCCACGCAGCATGGTTGATGGCCAGCATGAGAGCCGCTGCTTTGAAAGTTCCTTGGTGCCCGCGGTGTTTTGGGAGGAACGAGTGGGTCACGGCAGGTCGCTTTAGCTACGAACTGATACCAGGAGCCTCCTGTCGTGGTGTCCAATGAGCTACTCCCACACGACCGGCCTAGGCTTCCAGACAGGGCACCCCGACAGGAGGGTCCTGGCACAGGTAATGTAATATACAGTGGTTTCGGAGTAGATGGCGCAATCCCCACAAGCTGGCCACAAGCTGGTTTATAAGGAACTCCATTACAAATAACATCGTTGGTTTTGCCAGCTACTCTGAAATCACTGTCAACAACATTTGGATTGTAACACCTTTTCATATACCGGGCGGGTTGGATGAATCAAGAGTCTACGTCTACATTAACCACGGACATGTATTGTGACATGGAGCCAGTGCATTGCAGTGCAGGTCATTGGGGGGCCTTGGCTGGATCCAATCCCCCTCGTCGCCCTCGTCCTCCTGCTTTTTTGGCATTATATACCAGGTCCATTCACTCAGCTTGGATTCTATGACACGATATTTTGGCACATTCTCCCCAGTTCCCTTCGATCCTCCGAGTGGGAAAAAAACACGATTCAACCGCTTTTCGCACAGGAAAAGGAAAAGAACGGAAGGTCAAGCCACCCATAAGCCACCTATTCCCCGATGTTCCATACTGCCGTGCGTGTTCCTGCTTTAGGTTATCTCCACTGAGCAGCCCAATGTATATATAACCTCTGCACGCTCTCCTCCCCCTTCACCATTCCCCATGTACCAGTCCCTCGATGCCATGGTCCAGTCGCATGTCCCGTTCCAAGCCTCGCCTGTGTTCGATGCTTTCTACAGTGGGCCATCAGAGGTGAGAAATGGCACTGGCACCCAGTCGAGGTCTTCCAGATGGAGGGCCATATCAACAACCCTTTTCTTGGAGCATGCCATCAACTTTTTGGCACGTACTCCTAAATACTTCCTTCCCCAGAACTGCTTCAGATCCCCGCGTTTCTGTCGCACATCCGGCAGCTTCCACCCTTCCTGGGTTCGGGCACGACGTGGCCGGCTGGAACTGCTCGAGGCCCAGGCGATGGCCGTTTGGGTGGCAAAGTCCATGTTGCGGCCCTTCCTCCCAGGGCCGTCCATGGCCGCCTGCCGATGCAGTGCGGTCCTGCGGGGGGTGTGGGAGGGCGGTGGCGAAGGGTGGCGAGAAGAGGCAAGAATGTGGCGAGGGTGGTGGGAAGTGAAGGGTACTTGTTTGCAAAAGCAACGACGTTGGAGTTGGAGGGTTCAGACTGCAGGCTACCCTCTCTTGGGCAGACGGCCGCTTTGCTTGTGGTAAGGGTATCAAATCTTCGATGTTAATCCTGGTTTCGTACAATGATCATTCACTGCTTGGGAACATTTGCCCAGAGACGGCATCGGGTCGTGGCAGATAGTGTGGCAGATCTTTTTACAGGTGGCTTCCAGGTCAGGCTTGCTCAAAGTCTAAATGTTTGGGTGTGCATTTTTAAGTGGGAAGACCCTCCAAAAAAGTACTGCAAGTGATATCTATCAACCGATATCAATCAACAGTGTATCACCCATCTTGAAGGATTTGCCGCGGAAGGAGAGCAGAAAAATTAGGAACTTACAATCTTCATGGCGATTCTGATTAGAATGCCCAGGACACTTCGGACTGATCCGGGGCCTCCCCCGTATCTCTCCCAGCCTCTACCTGCCCTTCAACTGCAGTCTCTCGTCCGTGGAACTCCAGATCACTGTGGAGTTCCTCCGAGTTCCTTCCCAGGCACAAGCGGAGCTCAACTGCAGTGAGCCGAACTGGACGTGGATCCCTGGATGGGAGTCGTGATGAGTCGAGCTTGAGCGCCTCAAGGCAGAGCTGAGCTTCAGAGGTAGCGAAAGGACCCTGCTCCACGGCGGACAGCCTACGGCAGGCCGCCGTGGAGGGAGCGAGACCTCGCTGGCGGAAGTGACTTTAAATAAACAGGCCGAGCGTATAACATCGTATAACTTATAACCTTTGAATGAGGGTGGCAGTGGATGAATTCCATATGTGTTTCTTATATAGGAATTTCATGGAATCTCTATTTATTGGGGTGACGTCACTTTTGCAAGCCAAAGATGGGAGGGTCTCGAATACCCCGTGTCACGATGACACTCAGAATCATCGTGTAGGAGGCTGGTCGGAGCAGACGGGCACGGCCACAATGTGACTAGACAGCCCGAATGCAGAGCCTGATGCACCAATTTTTGGCGCGCATCGCGCTCATTTGTTCGCTCGCCACTCACTTAGTGTGGTGAGCCTGGTGAGCTGTTTTGGAAGAGCTCAGAACACCAATCGCTTCTACGGATTGTAGAGCAGAGTGTTTGTGAAAGCTCTTGTCACAAGATGCTCGGACATGCATATCCAGCAAGGCAAGTTGTTCTCAATTTGATTAATAAAGTACTTAAGTTTAACATTCCCTAGGGATCCAAGTACCTCCTCGGAAGGTATTTGGACCCTCCAAACCCTCCCCAAACCTCCCCAGACACCTTCTAAGGCGGCAGTCCTATGGCAGTCCCAGACTGGTCGTGTCTAGGCATGTAAAAAAACTGTACCCTGGAACTTCCAATGACTCATTTGATCTCACTTGGCAGTCATAATCCACCTCTACCTTAGGGGTCAAACGAGTCCATTGGACTCTCAGGGTGCTCGAGGTATAGCCCTCACTGAAGCTCTCCTTAGTGAGATTTACTGAGGGATTGAATTCCTGCGAGGCATCATCATCTCCTAGTTCTTGCGACGACGGATTGGTACTAGCGGGACTCGGATGCCATTCTGAAAGCCAACGTAAGTCCTTACTTACAGAAGATGTGGCCGTGGATGGCATGTTTCACCAACGGGCCTCACCCGTCCAAGACTTTGTTCGGAACAGCGCAGCCTTCTATGGAGCAGCCGGCATGATCGGGTGAAAGAGATGTGGGTGTGGGTCAAAACTCGTAAGAAAAGAACGCATCAACACGGTGGGTGATGATTCCCCCGGTATGTGAGCTCCTTGATGGATTCTGGTGAACAATCTTTGGTTTTGACCCACTGGGTTTTAAGCGTTTCCCACCTGAGTCCAACCAAGTTGGACCAAACGCCAGATCCATAAATCGGTCACAAAGCGGCTCTTGTCTTGTGGCATGTTTTCTTTTCAGCGGTAGATGTGGAGCATGACTTGACCATGACTGGAAACACAAGCTTTCAATGCTGACCTTTTGCATCCTTTTGCCAACCTTAGCCTTTACCTACCATTTGCAACGTAGAACCTGACAATGGTGGAGCCTTAATCTTAATTAACCAGGACGACGGAAAGGGTCCAGGGTGGTTTATGGACACCCTTGACCTCTTAAGGGGCAAAAATGGACACCCGGAATCCGTGGTGCTGGAATATGCTGTTTTCGTTTTGACATCTTGTAGGTAGAATGGTCGTGACACCAGGAAGGCTTTCTGGAGCAGCTTCAGCCAATGCTGTTCCCCGATCCCTCCATCCATGAGGCCGACCGAGACCTCCATGCGGCCAGCTGGGGCGCTGCAGTCTTCGTCAGTTGAAGACCGGGCGACAGATGGGCGACAAGATGTTTCAAGCGTTTTGTTGAATTCGTCTCATCCAGGTCAGCAGGGCTAGTGAAAAGCTGTATTCAATGCACCGATGTGCATGCGAGTTGAGGTTCGTTGGAGGCGAGTTACATGGGACAAAATGACTTCGTTCAAGTGACACAAGAAGTTCAGAGGCAAACGGAAGGGTAGTGCACAGAAACAGTTTTGCAAAAACGGCTATTCCACTAACATCGTGGAAGGCGCGGAACATTCGTAGAACCTGGGGCTATTCGTGGACATTTAGTGGAATGGTGGGCCAGTAGGAGAACTGACTGCAACAAAATCCAAGAAACCTTCGCAGAACTTCTTGGAAGGTATTTTCGATGCACTAACGTTGTATAAGCGATTTTTGCTGACCCCCCCTTTCTCCACACACCCTCCATTTAGCCTTCGGAAGTGACATGCTGGACGCATGTACAGATTGAAGACATCATAGTATAGCGGGGATTCATCGTGTTCACACCATGCAGCTTAAAAACCAGTTGCGAGATGTTGCGGGCAGATTTTTGGAGTTGGCATCCTGGCACGCTGCTTTCCTTTCAGCTTGCATTGTACCGTATGTTTTCCCGGTCAGTGGGGCAGTTGAGGCCGATGGTCGCCTGGAGCGGTTGCAAAGGCTGGAGCGGGGATTGGGTGATATTGGGTGTGCAATGGCCCTCCCTGAAAGAATGGCATGGACCCCTCGAAAAGGCCATATGAAAAATCTGAACACATCTGAATATACCCCAATACCATCAGGTTACCCAACAGGGGCGGTGCTCCACGAAAACCATGCTGCTTTCAGGGAGGGTACCAGGAGGGAGACGTCCCAGGCCACCGGGTAGGTCAGTGGGTCTCCGGGTGACCGGGCGAGACACCTGCAGCAGCCTGCAGCCGTGAGAAGGGCCGGACACTGGGCCGTTGGGTTTTCAGGGTGTCCGAAGAGCCCAGGGGACAGATTGGAGTACCTGAGGTTTAGGATGATTTAGGGCTCTTCGGTTTGGGGTCAACGTGGAGATGATATGCGAGAGATTCCATAAGCAGTCCTCACTGGCCAGGTCACCATCCACTTTGAAGTCTCCATTTCAGCCATTTCACCGGCCTTGGAAGTCCTTATATATCGTCCCTTAGTCTTTCGTGAGGCGCTGCTTCACGTCTTCAACGCTTCGGGTCACGACTTCCTCGGAATGCAGGAGGGAGCAGTCAACTCCTGGGGGTGGTGCCCGATGGAGACACGGAAGGATCACCAGGTGTTCGTGTTCATTTTGGAGTCGAACCTCCCTAAAGAATGGCCACATGGGCGTGAAGACCAAGCTCAACATGTTTCCAAGACCTTGCTGGATGGCGAAGCTCCTCTTGGAGGAGGATTCGTCCAGAAGGAGGATTCTTTTGGAGCTTTTGGACCAGCGGTATGGAGCTTTTGAACCTGCAAAAGCCCGCGCTTTCTGCGCCACATCCAGGCACCGGGAGAACATCCGCCGCATCGCGCGTGAGCTCAATGTGGACTTGCCAAGCGCTCAGCAGTTCACCTAACGGCACGACCGATGAGACGTGAGATTCTCCTTGCCTGCCGATCCGTTGGGGGGATTGAGCATGGGGGGCATGCTTGTAATTCGGCATGTTATTCACCTACCCAGTCAGAGGATGACCATCTCTATATAAAATTTTGTTCCCCTACTAAATTTCAACAGATTGACGAAGGTTATATAACCTTGTAAAATTTCCAGGGAAACTGAGGAAGTCAGTATTCGATACATGGGAGTGTGGGCTTTGCCTTTTTCCTGCTGGGTGGCTCGATGTTGAAGACCCCGTGGGGCTTGAGACCTCGCCACTGCACAAGGCTTTGTTGTCCCCGCCCGGAGCTTGCACAATTCCACAGTCCACAGTCTGTCCACTTGCAATAAAAATGACACCTGGTGCATCGAACAGTCGATCTGTCCATGCCGGGCAGCATTCAACGAACGATCATAACTACACTCTGACTCACTAACATGGAAGTGGAAAAACCGCCTGTTTGTAGAGGACAGTAGTCTTTCAGGGGCCCATTGTCCACTTCCATGTTAGTGAGTCAGAGGGTATCTTTGGAGGCCTCCTCCAAGTCCGATCTGTGCATCCTCCACTGAGTTCCTCCAGAACGGATCCTGCGGGCGTCAAACCGATGCGAGAGAGTTCAGGCACGGGGACAAAAACGGCGGGTTGATCCGTGGTTTGGGAAGAGGCCTGCCAATTGCGGTGTTCATTGCTGATTTTGTTAGTCATCTTCGAGTGGGTAGAGATAAGATGAGATAAGGACATTGGGTGATTTCAACAAGGATTTAGTTATAACATGAATATGTGCAAATGGTTTCAATCTTGACCTCTCCATCCCTGAAGATGGACTCTTTTGGGGCATGACCATCCTCCCCCCCCACAAAAGCACCGCTGCACTGCCATCCATATACTCTAAGGATTCCAACAACTACTTGTATTACAGTACTATTATATATTGCATTGCAATGGCTTTTACTACCACAGAACCATTGTTCTACCCAATGTTTAGACTACAAAACGCTGCCTTGTCATTGCCTTGTCGATTTTTTTAATTGTTTTTGAAGGCTAGGGCTCCATGCACCAAGAACGCCAAACCATTGTTCTACCTGAGGACGTTTGACTACTAAAACCAGGTCTTTGTCCTTTTTTGGCATGTGTTTTTGTTTGTTCAGTGTCTGATGCCTGACAATTGTTATAAAATTAGGCATTGTATATGTTGGAGTAGCATGCATACAGAGCATGCAAGCACGCATACAGAGCATGCATGCAAGGTCATGCCTTCTTGTAATCGTCTTCGAAGGCTGACCGGGTTCAGGTGCGTTCGCTCGACCGGGTCACGCAGGGTCCTTGCGCACGAGCGGGGCGAGCGCAGCGAGCGCGGCCGCCGGACGACGCAGCGCTGGGGCGAGCGCTGGCGCAGCGGCGAAGCCAAGAGGTCGGCGCGGCACGGAACTCCACAGAAGCACCTGAGCAACGTTCTGAAGGGGGTTTGTGCACAGATCTTTAAGTGAGAGGAACTGTTGATTGAAGCCGTCCAGATTCGATTCATGTAAATTTGGCCTTCCAGACTTCCAGAAGACACAGAGACCGATGCCTAGACCGATGCCTGCGTCTGTCCGGCATGGGGTTGGACAGTGCCGGTGAGCAGATTGGTATGACATCAGCTCCGCTTCTTCAACTCTTGGCACTGCTACCACATGAAGGACCAACACAGTGTT